GTTAGATAACAAGGGAATACATTAGCTTTCTGCCAGGTAAGTTCCACAAGTAAGATATGTATAAAGTCTTTGAAAGACTATCAAATTATAAAAATTCACTCAAGAACAGAGATAATGATTTAATTCACTATAATTCTTAGACAAAACTTTCATTTACATTTTTGTGTGACATTATCCTAGGGAACTTCTTTTTTATAAGATTTATTTTTATTTTCATTAAAAAGATAGAACATATTTTATGAAGAAGACAGTCAGAAAGAAAGATCTTCCATCTGTTGGTTCACTCCCCAAATGGCCACAATGGCCAGAGTTGAGTTGATCCAAAGCCAGGAGCCAGGAACTTCTCCCAAGGTTTTCTGGCCATCCTCTGCTACTTTCCCAGGCCATAACCAGGGAGCTGGATGGGAAGTGGAGCAGTTGGAACACCAAAGGGCACCCATATGGTATCCCAGCACATGCAAGGTGAGGATTTAGCCAATGAGTCATCATGCTGGACCCCTTTTAAAAGCAGGAAATACTTACTAATACTATGAGGACTACACTAATCTCATATCAAAATACAAAACAATAGGGGGAGGGGTAGTTGCATAGCATAATACTTCACCTGTGGTGCTGGCATTCCATATAGGTGCTGGTTCTAGTTCTGGCTGCTTCACGTCCAATTCAGCTAATGGCCTAGGAAAGCAGCAGCTGATGGCCCAAGGCCTTGAACCCCTGCACCCAAGTATGAAGGTCCAGAATAAGCTCCTGGCCCCTAGCATATGAGCAGCCAATCTCTGGCCATGGCACCCAATTGGGGAGTAAACCACTGGGTGGGAGATCTGTCTTCCTGCATTCCTCTCTCTGTAACTCTTTTAAATAAAAACTAAACAAACCTTAACAAAAAAAGAAAAAAGAAAAAAGAAGAAGAAAGAGTATAGCTAGAAAAAATACTACAGAGAAATATAGTATCTCTAGTGAATAATTATATAAATATTTTTAACAAAATGTAACCAAACTGAACCTAAATATATTTAATTATTTATATATATATGCACACATATATAATTTTACATACACATATGTGTGTATATAAAAATATATATACAGAGAGAGAAAGGTGACATATCATGACCAGGTGATATTTATTCAAAGAAAAAAAGATGGTTTAACATTTACTCAATCAATGTAATACACTATACAAACATTAAAACAAAATGCACATTTCAATGCAAACATCAACAGATGCAGTTATCATCTACTGATGAAAACCTTCAGCTAACAGGAACATTCAAAGGACACTCCTCCTTCAACCTGATAAAGGTATTTATTTTTAAAATGGCCAAAATATCTCCAGCAATATTTTGAATGATAAAGAAGTTATTTACTAAAATCAACAAGATGTCTGCTCCCATCACAAAGGTTCTAACCAGTATACAGAATAAGAAAAATGAGCAAAAGGAAATCAGATTGGAAAGGGAAAAGTAAATTTTCTTCCCCACAGACATTGTGATCATCTAAGTACAAAATGCCAGGTAAAACCCATAAAGTCATTTAAGAAACTCACAGGATAACACACAAAATGCAATTATGTTTATATGTGTGTGTGTGTGTGTGTATACATGGCAATAAAAATATTAATAAAACTATCATTTGTAAAACTACAAAAATGTGAAATAGATGTAAATTTGATCCAAAAACGTGTAAAATCTATATGCTAAATTCAGAGACAAGCTATGTTCAAGCAATAAATCAGGCAATATCAGGAGAAACTAACAGGAGAAGAAGAAAAAAAAATTAGATAATGATTTATATTAACGTAAAAATAACAAAAATAACTGCACAAACTGTTTATGTTGTAAATATATAACCTCTCAAAATCGAAAGAAAACTGCGTGCTATATGGAATTGAGAAACAATACAGCAGAAAACACTGAAAACCAAGTGAGAAAATAAGTAAGATGTTATGTTTGACTTTACAAAACAAGAAAAAGTGAAACTCAGAATAAACTGTTTAGCATTGGAGTTCCTAGCTTCTGGCTTCATACTGGCTCAGCTCCGGCCATTGTGGCTGTTTGGGGAATGAACCAACAGACAGAAGATCTTCCTCTCTATCTCTCTTCTCCGTAGATCTTCCTTTCCAATAAAAATAAACACATTTTTTAAAAATATATATACTTATGAGTAAATGAAATTTGGGTTCTTGAAAAAACTCTTAGTATTAGAAATCAAGCATAATTTTTTAAATGAGAGGCAAGGCAATTTGACCAACAGACCAGCTGACCAACCAGATCAACCAGACAACCAGTTGGCCAAGACTAACACCCCTTACTGGAGTGTGGCCCTGAACAGCACATTCACAGAATTTTTTGATTTGTTTTTTAATTAGATATACAGAGAGAGACAGAGACAGAGAGGAAGATCTTCCATCCATTGATTCACTCCCCAAGCGGCTAAGCAGAAATGCATCAATCGGTAGCCAGGAGCCAGGAGCCTCTTCCGCATCTCCCATGCAGGTGCATGGCACCAATGTTTTATGCCATGCTCCACTGCTCTCCCAGGCCACAAACAGGGAGCTGGATGGGAACCGGAGAGATTGGAACCAATGCCCATATGGGATCTTGGTGGCAAGGACATTAGCTACTAGGCTACTGTGCCAGACCCAGATATCAAGCACATTTTTAACACAGCAGACAAATTATTATTCACTTGTACTAACATTCAATTATCCTTGAAAAACAAACCAGGGAGCCAGCACCGTGGCGCAGCAAGTAAAGCCAGCACCTGAGGTCACACCCTTGATGCTCCCTGCCTCACACAGTTCCCTTCCCTGCTCATGGCCCGAGAAAAGCAGCAGAAATGCTCAAGCAGCTGGGCCCCTGCTTCCACATGGGTGACCCAGCAGAGTGTCCTAGCACCTGGCCTCAGCCTGGCTCAGCCCTGGGCATTTGGGCCATCTGGGGAGTAAGCCAGCAGATGAAGGATTCTGTAGCTCTGACTTCCAAATGAATAAATACATAAGTCTTAAAACAAGCAATAAAAACTTATATGCAGAAACTGTCATGGCCTATTATCAAATTTTCAACTTGAATGAACACACCGAATTAAATTTTGAAAGCATTTAAGCTAACCTAACTTTGGGTGAAGTATTTCACTTCAACATGTCTCAAATGAGTTTATACACAAAGAAATCTGAATATTAAAACAAAGAAATTCAGAAAAGCATCCTAAATTCTTGTCTTCCTAAATAACATGTCTTCACACTCATGCTGTTATGGACAACATACAAACATCAAAAGTAATCATTGCAGGAAAACTGGTCATCTTTACACAGCTTGGCAAACTATCAAGTACCTGCTGGTTATTAATTTTCAAACATATGGAAGCCCTGTGGTAATACATATTAAATTGAATCTTTTACACAAATATGGAGTAATGAAAAAAATGAATTATTAATATTCTCTGTAATAAATCATTTAACTCATTCACTTTTGGGTAATTTTAACAGTCTTTCACACAGAAATTAGTTAAAAACATCAATATAACATGTTTTATAATCATATAATCAAATCCATTATTCTTCCTTTAGTTCTATCCTTATATACATACAGTTCTTACTAATGTTTAAGGGTATTTATAAAAGTCTTTGGTAAAATAGAACTAAAAACGTGAGTTTATTGTGTTGAAAAACTTTTTCATAATACATGAAAAATGCACATTATTAAAAGAGCCTGAATTTCAAAATTGACCATCAAAACAAACTCATATTTTTAACTCCACTTTCCATAAACATTCTGAAGATCTTGTATACAAGTATACATCTTGTATATCCTGTTAAACTTTTATTTCTTAAAAAATTGTTACAATTTCATTAAACCAGAAGAACTGAAATTAGCAAATCATGAATACCCCAAATTAACTAGGAAACACCTGAAAGATGAATACTTATCAATCAGTTTAACTGTTTTCAATTTTATAAAATAGTTGGCTGCTTTGTAATGATGGCATCATACATTAAATTTATTTTTAAATAACTACTTTAAAACAATCAGGTTTACATATATTTCATTTGTAGTCAGCCTCATTTATAAAATTTCTTGTCTTCCACACTTACATGTTGTTATTTTTGGAGAAAAACAGGTTAAAAATGACTCATCTTTATTAATGACATCATTAATAAATTATAATAAATAAATAATATTTAGTTTCTATTACATAAAGCTGTTTACCCAATATCAATTTTTGCCTAGTATCAAAATCTTTGTAAATTAGGTTAATAATTAACTCTGAAATGGTAAACTATTCTAAATTAGCATTAAGTATCCTAAAATAATGTACCATCATATTCAACAAACTTACATGAAAATCTAAAAATAATGCTAAAGCAGCAAGCCTCTATATCCCAATCACATTCTGAAACCAAAACACAAGTTAATATATTACACTCCAGATCTCTTTTCTAGAGATCAACTTCACTGAAAATAAAAAGGTAAGAAATAAGTAGTAAAGGCAATATATAATTTAATGAAACTTTATGAAACAACAGAAAATACTACAGTTCTGTAACTCTTAAAAAAAAAACCTATCTGCACCACAAGCTAGGAAATATTCTTCCTGAAATGTCAATTTCCATGTTTAAAAAAGAATATGCATGGTTTAGCAAAAAAAAACATGAAAACAATCCAAAAGTGTTCTCCCATATCTTAAATAAATCTTGAGCCATTCTAAAGTTGAATATAAAAAGATATGTTATATTGTTGACTACAAATACTCAAAGTTTTATTGCCATTTAAACAAAGAAGCCATTACAGTTAAATGAGCTCAAGAAATAGATTTCAGTATCACAAGGTGCCAGCTGTAAAGAGTTATGGCTAATTGAATATGGAACTCCTGCTTAATCAGATAACTGCTCTGTTATTTCCAAATGAAATGTCATTTCCACACTGTCTGAAAATGGCCTATTTTATTGGTAACCAGAGAAAACAATATAAACTGTAAATAACATTAAGTGCTCTGTTTACCCATTCCAGGCACAGAAGTAGCAGGGGATCCAAGGCGTCTTGGTAACATATTTGATGGTACGGCTGAAGTAACAGTTCTTTCTGGGGGTCCACCAGGGGCTGAAGTATCCTTTGGTGGTCCAGGAGATACTGGAACTTGAGGAGCAGGGCCCTGGTTAGAGACTGGGGGTGCTGGCGACACACTTCTTTGAGCTGCAGTTCGCTGACGAATCTCTGATAAGAGTTGAATATATGCTATGTTTAATATCCAATATACAATATCAGTAATACCACAAATGACTTGAACACTTAGTAAAAATTCTGTTGCACTGAAAGGTATTGTGAGGTATTTAAGTGCATATAATGAGAAATTCATAAAACATAACACTGAAAACAGTTCCCCATTTCTGCACCTACTAGAATCCAACTGCAGATGTTCATACAAATCTACTTGCTGATATGACTTTAAAAATAAACTGAAGAAATCACTTAATTATATCCCTTTTATAATAAACCTTTCCAATTATAATAAAGAAAAAGTTAATTAAAATTAGTGAAAACAACAATTTGCTCATTGTTTTCTAAGCTTAAACATTGATGAATTAAAGTACATTCTGGAGCTATCAAATAATCCATAACATAATTAAGTAATTACAGAAATGTTGAAAACGTATTCTAACCAGTGCCAACAAAATTGTATCAAAAAACAAACAAGAAATAAATTAAAAAATAAAAAGTATTCTAAACTATTACATACTACTCTCATTTTCCTTTGTGTTACTGCTGTATTTCTTGCAAACTTTCTTTTTGCTGATGCATTCAAGATAAACTTCTATTATGCAAAAACAATGCTTCCACTGTAAATAAATCTTAGCTTTTGGTTGTAGAATAACGGATTTGCAAATGTGCCAAGTCCAGGCTGCCGCCCATGTTTGTAGTTTTATTGGAACACCGTCCCGCTCTTTGTTTACATATTGTCTATGGCTGCTTTCAAAGAGTTAAGTAGTTGCCATACAGACCATATGGTTCTCAAGCCCATTTATTATATTTACTACTGGTCCTTTACAGAAAGTCTCATGATCCCTACTCAGTAACCTAAATTTAAACCTAATCATTCCCCAGTCCCACCAAGATCTTACTTGATCTCAAATCAAGAGGCTCTTACAGCTTTTTACTTCTATTATTACATTAAATCATCACAAATCCTGACTTAAGCAGGTCAAACTACAAAAATTTTAATTGGCACCAATAGTAAAAATGCATACTCCCAGAAGGAAAGCACTTTATTTGGAATCTATCTAAAAGCTAAATATTTTCATGAAAAGTTCATTGCAATTCAAAACAAATCACTAGAGTCAGATCCCAAATCGCTCCAATCTACAATACTAGTTAAGAACCTGGCCCAGGATTTGGAGAGGAAGACAGGAAAGGTAGGTAGGTATTCAAGTTAACCTATCTGAAGACAGGATTCCAACTAAACCTGGCTGCAAAGCCCAGGGGGGTTTTTTGGTGGTTGTTGTTGTTGCTGTTGTTTTAAGGTTTCCTTGCTTATTTGAAAGGCAGCTGAGGGGGGAGGAAGAAAAAGAGAGAGGGACAGAACCAGAGTATGTTTCCTGACTTCAGATAGGCTACTGGACCCTCAATAAAACAGATTTTAATTTGTGAAATTAGCACAGTGATATTCTTCACTCACAAAATTGACTTCAGGATTAAATAAGATAACATGCTTATTATTTAAAATGATGATGGTGTCCACACCACTATTTTCAAATTATTTTAGTTATAATTACTAAAATGAACTATTTTCTATTGGTTCATAATTTAGGCTCTTACCAACCAACTGCTATAAGACAAACCACTATCATTGTACAAATAGAACCATCTTTATTGTTGCTACTTTCTATGTAGTTTATGCAGAAAATTTCAACTACACTTTTGCTATTCATAATCTGATATCTTGCAAATTAGCAGGCCATTTAATTGTCTTTTACTCACAGGAATAAATAGGTGGCTACACATTAGGAATAGCATCAAATGTTGCTGAAAGTCTAAGATCAATACAATTATATTAAAACTTGTTTATCAAAAATTAAAGCATCAAATACTCTAATTTTTAGCCAATTTTCAGGTAGGCATCATACAAAAATGATGTTTTACTGGATAATTAAAAGTTTAGTATTTTGGGGGTTATATTACAGTAGCTATTATTCTTTCACTTGAACAATGATTCATCACTGCTTCCTCTGAATGCATCTCCATCCTGCAAATATTAACATTTAAACATCAAGTGCTACCTGGCAGCAGACTGCCCGGAGAAGGAGGTCTGGGAATGTATAGGGAGCGGCTGAGGGCATGTCTGACAGGGAGGAATGACTTCTGAGGTCTTCAACAGATCAGGCCACTGCACTTGCAGGTAGGTGAAGAGGCTGAGATTGAAGTGGTTTAGAAGGGGAAAACCAAAGGGCATGTCTGGGTCAGGCCAACTTACCCACCCACATGGTAGACATGAGCTAGCACATGCAAAAGCTGAGGTAGGGAACCCGCCTGGCTGGGCTAGGTCCCAGAACCTGCCCACAATAGTCAGAGCAGGGGGTGTGCCATATCAGGCTGGACTGAAACACCCACCAGAATACAAAAGAACTCAATCTGAGGGCAAATTCTGTAGAACTGTGGGTGCACCTCTGTGGGATTGCAGTACCTGCCATTTTACACAGAGAGGTGGGGGCGATGACAGGCCGAGTCAGACTGGATCACAGGATCTACCTGACACTCACAGAAGTTGGGGTTGGGAGGAGGCTGGACAGGGCCAGGCTGCAGTACCTGCTAGCACATGCAAGGGCTAGTACTAAGGGCAGATCATGCCGGACCAGTCCACTCCCCTGCTGACACACTTAAGATCTAGAGCTGGAAACAAGCCTGGTAAGGGAACTGGGGGAACTCTTACTAGGCTTCAGCTCCCGCTGCGGAACACAAGAGCCAGGGTGGGGACAGGCCGGGCCAGGCAAGTCTGCAGCATTTGTAAGCATTTATGTGGGCTGGATCTGGCAAGAAGATGACCCGTAACACAGCACCTGTGGCATACACAAGAGCTCGGCTAGGCTGCAACACTGGTCAGAGAGAGCTGAGCATGTGGGTGGTCCAGGCCAGACTGGAGCAAAGCACCTGCCAGCACACACAAGACCCAGGGTTGGGAATGCGCCTGGTAGGGAAGCCCTGGGGACTCCCTTGCTGAACCTGCAGTTCCCACTGGAGAATGCAAAAGCCAGAGCTGTAGCAGACCAGGTTGGATCCATTGTCATACATGCAGGCTGAGTCTGGGGGTAGATCAGACTGGACTAGGCTCCAGCACTTGCTGATGCTCACAAAAGACAGGATGGGTGTGGAATAGGCTAGGTTAGGCAACAGCACCCCCTGGTTCACCTGAGAGCCATGTCTAGCGGTGGGCCAAGCTGGGATAGGCTGTAGCCCCATCAGTGAGAGCTGGAATGGTGCTCGCCAGTCGGGCCAAGCTGCAGTATCTGCCAGTGAGTGCCAGGACTAAGGGAACACCCATCGGTCTGGGTAGCAGGATCTGCTGGCATGCTCAGTATCTCTTGCCGGGAGTGGGCCTGGTAGGGGAACCTGGGAAACGTACTTGCTAGACATAGCTCCCACAAGTGAATATGATAGCCAAGGCTGAGGGTAGGCTAGACCATGCTGGGCTGTAGCACCATTGGCACATCTATGGGCCAGGTCTGGGGATGGGCTAGGCAGGGTCAGGCCACAAAACACTAGCATGACTGACAGACAGAATGGGATGCAGGCTGAGCCAGCTGGATCATAACACCCACCAAATTACATGAAAGCCTGGGGTTGGCCAAGTTTGGCTAGGCTGCTGTACCCATTGGCAAGAGCGAGGCAGGGTGGGCTGAGCCAACCTGTAGCACTGCTGGCAAATGCCAAGACTGGGGTTGGGTCATTTCAGACCGGGTTATAGCACCTGCTAGCACATGCAAGACCTGAGGCTGGGAGCAGGCCTGGTAGAGAAATTTTGGGGACTCCTTTGCTGGGATACTATATCCACTGGTAAGCATGGAAGCTGGGCCCGAGGATAGCTTGAGGATGGGCCAGGCTGGGATAAGCTGCTGTAGCTGTTGGCCTGCAAGATAGCAGTCCCTGGCAGGCACAAGATCAAGGGCTAGAAACATGCCTGGTAGAAGAACCGTGAGCAATACCCAATTAGACTGTACCTATCATTGAACAGCACAAAAATCAAGGCTGGAGGTGGGCCAGGCTAGCAAGGAGGCAGCACTTGTTGGCATACATGAGGACCAAGTTGGGCTTGGCCCAACTTGTGTGCACAGGTGTGCAATAAGAGCTGGATGGGATATAGGCTGGGCTGGGTCAGGCCACAGGAAAGGTTGGCATGTGAAAAAATCAGGGCTGGGGGCAGGCCTGCTGGGGTTATTAGAGGTCACCCCAACTATACCATGGCACAGGTGAGTACTAGATCTATGGCAGGCCGGTTGGGTGGGCCATAGCACCAATCTTATTCTCATAATAAATTATTAGTTACAGTGCATTGTGATTTGTGCCTCCCTTGTAGTCCTTGGTATACTAAAACTGCTTATTTACATACATATTTCCCTTTTAACCAAGAGCTAATTTGTGGAAGCTACACCTTGTAGCCTAGGGAAGTACCAATGTAACTGGCATAGAATATGCACTTCATTAGTGGTGACCAAATGAATCCACTTTGCTCTTACATTTCAATATGAAGTTTCCAACTGCCTTTTACCCAGCCTATGTGGAAAAGCAGAATATTGGTTTCCTGAAGAGGTACACATTCTTATTCCCATGACCTATAAACATACTATCTCACATACACAAAGAAGTAAGATTATACATGGACATAAGGTTGCCAATTAGTTACATTTATGTTGCATGCTGCATTAAGAATTATAGCCTAACTTCATGCAATTGTGGGGAAAAAATTGCTTTCAAGCAAAAAAACAATGCTATTATACCACTTGCCAACATTTAGCAAAGTTTCCTTTTTGCTATTGTTGTGATTAGCTACCAAATTAAGAATATACTTGGCAGGGCTGGCACTGTGGCATTGTGCCACTGCCTGCAGTGCAGCATCCCATAGGGACACCAGTTAGATTTTCGGCTGCTCCACTGCTGACGCAGCTCCCTGCTAATGAGCCTGGAAATGCAGTGCAAGAGAGCCTGAGTGCTTGGGTCCCTGCATC